GGAGTGTCAGCAGCACTAAGGATGTCTTACTGCAGCTTAGGCCTGCTCCCCGCTGGCAAGTGGACATCTCCAGAGGGCTCCCGGGCTGCCAGAGGAATGTCTGACTGCCAGCTTAGGCCCAATCCCCCGGGGAGCGGGCCTAAGCCAGCAAGTGGACATCCCCTGAGGGGTCCCAGACTGCGAGAGGGCACAGGCCGGGCTTAGGGACCCCCTGAGTGCACAAATTTTTGTGCGCCAGGCCTCTAGTAACATATAAAGGAATCAAATTGCATAGGTAGTTTTCCAAATATTACTGTACTCCTAATTATCAGGATGCTTATATATATGTGTGTGTTTATGTGTATGTATTTTATGCTGAGCCACATGAAATTGCTTTTGGTCTGGGTAAAAAGTAGTCAAATATTGGCAGTTTCATATGGTTTAATCTAACATACTGCAGATGATTAAAATAATCCAAGTTTTGGATATTATTCATGGGTCATCCAAAAAGTCCTTATTTTTAGTGATTTAAATTTTTTTTTTTGCTAAGGTAAAAATTTAAATTGTATATAATATATGTGAGGAAGTCCTTAACTAGTGAATAACATAACCACCAGTATTAATTAGCTTTAATAAAAATATGGCATTGTTTTAATTGGAAAAAAACACAGTTTGTCCAGCTGTTGCTGGAGATATATTGAAAAATATGAAGAAAAAGTAGTGGTTCTTAGTCGGACAATAAAATTTGTTGGTATATTAAAAAATAAAGCATCATATTCCATGTTGGGTCAATGTATGATGTGAATAATCTACCCTATATGCTCTATGTCGAAGTAAGAAAGTTCCACTCCTTAAATTGTTTCAGCCAGGTTCCAACAAGTGCAAACATGTTCATCAAGAGAGAAATACATATTATTGAATGCAACAGAAATTGCTTAGTCCACTCTCCTGGTTTTGCTATCCAGCATTGATTCTGTCTTTTTTTATATAACAATACTCTGAATTTCCTTTACAAATTACCCTCTCCCTATCCCTCTCACCTTTTCAGCTATATGACTTACATGGTATTGATTCAATACACAGCTTCAGGTGGGCCCAGATTGGCCTAAGCCAATCAGTGTATGGCATTCACCTAATAAATCGGTCATGAGTAGGCACATGACGTGATTCAGACCAATCATAATGAACCTCAGCAGTTTTGCTGAGAATGCTGGGATGAAGACTTTCTCTTCTCCGTAGGGTTTAGTAGTACTCTGAGAATGCATGGTTTTATTACTGCAGCCGTTTTTGACACTTTGAGGAGAGATAGCCCAAGGACAAACCTTGAGGGCCAAGGAAGATAGAAATAGAGAAATGCATGACAACAGTGTTGGAACACTGACGGTATCTTGAATTTCTGGATCATATTGTGGTTAATGTTAGCCATATTTTAGAATCTCTGAACCAAGTAATACTCTATTTTATCAAGACAGTTTTATTTAGGTTTATTTCTCACTAAAAATTAAAAGCATTCTAACCAATATAGGTATTTAATTTGAGGTTTAAGGATATGCATAGGAAACATGTAATTCTCAACAGAAATGTTATTTGAGAGAAAACCAAGGAACTGTTCATATATGTCTATGATGCAGTTGTAAGAAGGAACACTTAAAGTGGCTGCTTGAACACATTTTCACTATCAGTAAAATATGGTTGAATAATTAAAACGTCTGTTCCATTAAACATTTTTCCTGAGTTTAAAAGTACACATTCCTATAAAAATATTAAAATAGACAAGCCTAGGGCAGAAAACAGAAGTCACCTATAACTCTACCACCGAGAGGAAAACAATCATTATTCTAGCATATTTGCTTCTATTCTTTCTATTCATCCTTATGAAGTAGAGATCACACTGTATATACAATTTTTATCCTGCTTTTTTTTATTTGACACCAAATAATAAGCATTTCTCACATCATTAACAACTCCTCATGAAGAATATTTTTTTCCCAAGGAAATTACACTTTATTTGAAGATGAGATAGAAATACATCTGAAACCGTGAATGGTGTAGTAAAAAGTATTGTGAAATGCAATAAATTTGATGACTATAATAAAATAATATGGTTGTAATTTTTAAGTTATCAATTTAAAATTTAGCTTTAGAAAATTAGGAATTTTGTCTTAGCAAAGGTGGAATTTACAGGCAAATAGAGTATAGATTAGGGGCAGGGAAAGGATTTAGGCAGTCTAGACCACGAGAATTACATTTAATGTATAGTGTGATGTACTTGGGGCATGAGCCATGTAGAAGGAACGAGAGCTGGGATGAAGAGTTAGTAAGGGTAGTTAGAAATAAGAATAGATATATAAAGTGTTCTGATTTTGGAGGATCTACCAAATCAGGCAAAGACTTTCTATTTTTGTAGAAAAATGAGGTGTATTTAAATACCTGGATAAATTAGGACTTTGTTTAAGGGTCATTAAAAAAATTATGTAGTTTTATGTCACATGTGATTTTAACTAAGAATTATTGTGTTGCCAAAACCGGTTTGGCTCAATGGATAGAGCGTCGGCCTGCGGACTGAGAGGTCCCGGGTTCGATTCCGGTCAAGGGCATGTGCCTGGGTTGCGGGCACATCCCCACTAGGGGGTGTGCAGGAGGCAGCTGATTGATGTTTCTCTCTCATCGATGTTTCTGACTTTCTGTCTCTCTCCCTTCCTCTCTGTGGAAAATCAATAAAATATATTTTTTTAAAAAAAGAATTATTGTGGAAGGAAGAAGCCAAATGACATGAATAAGATTCTTCTAAGAGGATACATTGTAAATCGTGGTGTTGCTTTTGCTAAAGAATTTGAAATCAAGCACTCTTGATGAATTATGGCACTTCCTTAAAATGGTATTTTGCTCCTATATACTGTACTTACATTATTTATTTTACTCACTGTAAACCTGGGATATCATTGTTATCTTTATTTTATAAAAGGAGAAACTAAGGCTCAGAGAAATTGCAGGGAAAGTAATTCAGCTCAAATTAGCTTAAGTTTGTTTACTATAAATATGGATATAAATATGATTATACATATAGTTTGCACCAGATTACTGACTCACACAACCAAATAATAGTGATATAGTTGGGATTTCAACACAGGTCTTTCCCCAACCAGTCCTATGTTCTTTGTTTTTTTAATTCCTATATTGATTTTCATTACACATGTTAAAAATTAAGATGAAATGCTTATGCTTTTAAAATTTTCTGAACAGTGTTTCTTGAAGAGGTAAAGTTATGCCATACATAGTGAGTCCAATGTCATTGCTTTTTACTATAAAACACAATTGATAAAATGCTAATGCTGGTGTAATCAAATAAATGCTTACATAGAAAGGTCTTCAAAAAGACATTAAAATGCCATTTAATGTCTTACAAATTCATATTTAAAATACATGTGATGCACTTTTTAAAACAGGCCTTTAACATTTTGAGCAGTTTTAGGTTCACAGCAAAATTGGGCAGAAAATACGGAGAGTTTCCATATACCCCCATCTCCTCGCATGTATTGCCTTCCCCAGTATTAACATCCCCCAACAGAGTGATATATTTGTTACAATCAGAGAACCTGTATTTACACATCATATTCATCCAAGCTCCATAGTTTACATTAGGTTCACTCTTGGTACTATATATTCTGTCAGTTTGGATAAATGTATAATGGCATATATCACCATTACAGTATCATACAGAATAGTTTTACTGCCTTAAAAATACTCTGTGCTCCACCCATTAATCCCTTCTTCAATCTAAGCCCTGGTAGCCACTGGTCTTTTTACTGTCCCCATAGATGTCATGTGGTTGCAATCATATATAATGTAGCCTTTTCAGATTAGCTTCTTCTACTTAGTGATATGCATTGAAGTTCCCTAACTCTTTTCATGACTTGATTGCTCATTTCTTTTTAATGCATAAGGATATTACATTGTCTGGCTTTACTATCATTTAATTATCTGTTCACACCCATATTGAAGAATATTTTGGTTGCCTCCAAGTTTTGGCAATTATGAATAAAGATGCTATAAACATTCATGTGCAGGTTTTTGTATGGGCATAAGTTTACAACTCATTAAGGTAAATACTGAAAAAGCGATTGCTGGATTGTATGGTAAGAGTGTATTTAGTTTTATAAGAAACTTCCAAAGTGACTGTACTATTAGCATTTCCACCAGCAATGAGTAAGAGTTCATGTTGTTCTACATCCTCGCCAGCATTTGGTGCTGTCAGAATTCTGAAATTTGGCCATTCTAATAGATTTGTAGTAGCACCCATTGTTGTTTATTGTACATTTCCCTGATGACATATGATGTGGAGCATCTTTTCATATATTTATTTGCCATCTGTATAGCTTCTTTGGGGAGGTATCTGTCAAAGTCTTTGGTCTACTTTTTAAATTGAGTTGTTTGTTTTTTATTGTTGAGCTTTAAAAGTTCTTTGTATATTTTGGAAAGCAGTCTTTTGTTAGATGTATCTTCTACAAGTAGTTTCTCCCAGTTTTTGGCTTGTCTTTGCATCCTCTTAACAGTGTCTTTCACAGTACAGAATTTTAAAATTTTAATGAATTCCAGCTCATCAATTCATTCTTTCATGGATTGAGCATTTGATGTTGTATCGAAAAAGTCATTGCCAACTTTAGAGTTTTTCCTATGTTATCTTATAGGAGTTTTATAGTTTTGTGTTTTACATTTAGGTCTATAATTCACTTTGAGTTAATTTTTATGTAGAGTGTAAGGGCTATCTAGAATCACTTTTTTTAAATATGGATGCCTAGTTTCCATGTTCTTTTTTACCACACCTTACTGCATTGCTAGTGTTAATGTTAGGCTGCTGGGTCTTTGACTATGGTAGCAAAGGAATCAGTCTTTTCATATCATTACTTCCCTTTTTGTGAATTCTAATTGTCTATTCATAGTTTGGGCAGTGGTCATATAGTCCAAGTATTTGTTTTAAGGAATTATATATGATAGTATAATTAATGTTTTCTACTGTCCTATGAGCCTTTGACTATCTGACATTGTTCCTTTACACATGAAAGACCATTAGTCTTAGCATATAATTCTTAGTTAACACCCTTGAAAATTATGTTGCTATTGCTTCATTTATTGCCTTTTGGAATATAGTATGTATCTGAGATGTTTAAATTTAGCTTAAATTTTGTAGCTTTAGAGATAATCTGTTTACTTTTCTCCATGGACACTTGTAGGCATTTTTCTTCGTCCCCCTAATACAAATTTGTTTTTGTCAGAATATGTCTAAATGCAGATCTCTTTTCATAGTTTTTTTTTAAAACCCAGAAACAATTCCTTCAATCGTGTCTTTGGTCATTGCTTGTAATATCTTCTTCAGTAACCTCCATAATTCTCAGGTTTCTTGTCTAATATCTGTTCTCTATATCTGTCATTTTTCTCTTGTCTTGTTTTCATGCTTGCCTGTAACATTTTACTTGTGGAGACTGACTTAGCATTTTCTGGGAGTTTGTCTGAAAATAGACTGAAAAATATTAACAATGTGAGGCTGGAGAGAAAAAGCATTCTGGTTACTTCCAAATGATATATGTATGTACTAGGTGCTCAGCCTTTGCTTTACTGAATCATAGTACAGACTGTGAGGAAAGGATAAAGTGTGCTTTGCTCCTTAATTTCAAGTAAGATATAGGTTTCCAGCAGTATGAGACAGATGGGCTAGTGTTTGTACTTCCTGTACTGTACAGGAATACCAGATGACCATATGAGCCAATTTTACTCATCCTCTTTGGTTCAAATTTGCAGGATTTTGTTAGTGTGCAGTTAATACTATAAAATAATAGTTTATTTAGTGGCCACATTTATTTTCATAGCTTCATAGACGATTATTGCCCTGTTGTTATGAAATCATGAAGTGTATTAAGTTTCACTTTGTAATATTTTAAAAAAGAAATTACATACTGTAAGTTCACAGATTTGGAATATGTGAAAGTCTCTGGACATATACCTTGAAAATATCAAGGCTTTACTGTATATGTGTTTATTTGAATCTATGTATTTTATACCTTTATGTGCAATAATAGTTAACATTTCTTGAATGTTTGCTATGAAAACTTTATAAGTACTTTATATATATATTGAACTAATTAAAACTCTCTGATAAAGGTACTATAATTATCCCCATTTTTACAGATAAGAAAAACAAGGCATATGGGGATGTTAAGTGACTTCCCTAAGGTCACACCACAGGAAATAATGTAGCCGGGATGGAAATCCAAATAATTGACTCCAGAGCCCCTGCACTAAACCACTAGGCAACTCTATCATATATATTCTATCTACCTCCTTATTTATCAGTTGAGAAATTTATCGGGGTATATGTGTGTGTAAAGTGAATCTGAAATGAATATCAAAAACAATGTCCTTTTCTAGATCTTATCTAGTTTCATTGGCTATATCCAGGTCTCTCTAGTTGCTGAGCCAATAGCTTTCCAAACCCCAGTTTTTTTGTAATCTTTGATTTATGCTCTGGATTTCACTTCTGATTCATCACTGCTTGTCCTTATACTGGTCACAAGCATGAAGATACCTCTGGACCTTGGAGTGAGAATATGTTTTTAGTTTCTTACTTATGGCTCTTGGATTTGTACTTGTCCTTGCTGTATGGATTGATTTTCAAATTGTGACTCTCAGATTTTCTATTCATTCGGAAAAGCACTAAATGCTTGTTTGTACAATAAATAACATTTGCCCTTGTTCCCTGTATAGTTGCCATTCCCTCATTTGACCCAGTATGTCAGCCTGAACTCTGGCCTACCTTTTAACCCTTTAATAATGCTAACCTGGAAGAGTTGATGTGGAGGTTAAATGATGGACTGTACAGGGTGAGGTAAAATTAGGGTTACAGGTGTTCATATGGAAAATAATACAATAATTAATAAATAATAATACAAGAATAAGCTGAGTTTTGTATACTCACAACTTTAAACCTACTTTTGTCCTACCCTGTATATGCAGAGTATGTAACATAATAATTGGTACCTCAGAAGGACTAAATTAGTGAGAATATATAGACAATTACTGGTGGGTTGAATTGTGCCCCCATAAAAGGTGTTGAAGCTCTAACCCGCAGTTCCTGTAGATATGATCTTGAAAATAGGGTCTTTGCAGATAATCAAGATGAGGTCATTAGACTTATGGTGTTGATCACATTGTAATGTATATGAATGTTGAATCACTATGTTATATACCTGAAACTAATACAATAGTGTATATCAACCATCCTAATATATAAAAATCCAGGGTCCATAACAACCAAATGGACGACTGGTCCATCCCCAGGCCCTCGGGCTCCATTGATCAGGGGATGGCTAGCGAGGGAACCAGGTTCCCTCAGGCTCCAATGAATCTGTGGCAGCTGCAACTGGATAGCAGGTGGAAGGCAGACTGCTTGGTCCCTCCCCCAGCCCGCAGGCTCCCATTGATCAGGGGATGGTTAACAGGGAACCAGAGTGAGTGGCCTAGGGATTGGGGAGCAGCTGAAAGGCAGGCCTCTTGGTACCTCCTCCTGGTCCTCAGGCTCCAATCAATTGGTGGTGGAGGCGTGGTGGAACTGGGGACTAGCTTCCTTAGTAGTCCTGTAGGTTCAATCTCCAAAGGGCAGGACAGGCACTAATGGACCAGCGCCTCCAGCACGATCCCGACAGAGAGTGCTGGCCTCCTGGAACTCGGCCTCGGGCACTGAGGCTGATTCCCTTCCTTTGGACTGGCTCCCTTAGTAGTCCTGCAGGTTGAATCCGAAGAGGACAGGCCAGGCACCAACGGACCAGCACTGTCGGCACAATCCTGATAGAGCTGCCAGCCTCCTCGAACTTGGCCTCGGGCACTGAGGCCACTTCCCCTCCCTAGACACTCCAGGAAGAAAGGATACCACCAGCAGCGCCAGGGGCGACCAGCAGTGACTGACTGCTCTCTCTGTGCTTCCTCCAGGTCACTTGAGCCTGCCCCCATCTGCCCCACTCCAGATGAAGTGTGATCAATGCACACAGAAGGAATGTAGTAAAAAAACAAAAACCGATGACCAAGAGAATGCTGCAGTCAATATCCGGAGTCTGGCTCAGGAGAATGTAGAGAAGGGAGAATTCCGTAAGTTGGCTGATGCCAAGATATTTCTGAGTGACTGCCTGGCATGTGACAGTTGTGTGACTGCAGATGAAGGAGTCCAAGTTTCTCAACAGAACACCAAGGATTCGTCCGTGTTCTGAACCTTAATAAGAAATGTGATACCTCACAGTACAAGGTGCTGGCAGTGTCCATGTGTCCATAGTCTCTGCTTTATTTTGCTGCTAAATTCAGCCTCAGTGTCACTGATGCATCCAGAAGGCTCTGCAGCTTCCTCAAAAGCCTTGGGGCACACTGTTTTTGACATGAAGATAGCTGCGGACTTCAGCATACTGGAGCGTCAGAAGGAATTTGTGTATTGGCACTGCCAGCACCGTGAGGAAGAGCCCCACCTACCCATGCTAACCTCTGCCTGCCCCAGCTGGGACCAATATGTAGAGCATGTGCTGGGTCACCCCATCACCCCCACCTCTGACTGGCCAAGTTTCCCCAGCAGATCATGGGCTCTCTGGTGAAAGGATTACTTCACCAGACGGCAGAACCTGTCCTCAAACAAGATTTTCCACGTCATTGTGGCCCTGTGTTACGACAAGAAACTGCAGGCCCTTTGAGAAGATGTTTCCACAGCTTTACATAGTTCCCAGGGTGCTGACTTCATGTTAACCTCAGTTGAAATTGTCCAGATAATGTTTTGTTATCCGCTACGCTTTACGATTTTGCTTCCAACACCGAGGCAAGCACAATGGACAGGCAATGATAGTCTAACTAGAAACCAAGCGACACTCCACCGACATGCACCGACGATCTTGAAAGTTAAATAATTCTTTGAAAGGTGACCTGAATGGAAGGGATTCATCTTTTTCTCACATGATTTAATTGGCTTTGTCAAAATTAATGCCTATTTTCTGATGTACCAGAGGTACTAGATAAATTGTCTGATTCAAGGATATTCAGAGTAACGGGCATATCTAATTTTTTCTTTAATGCTTCAAGATAAGAGGCCCAGGGCATCCTGCCAGGACATCAAGTGGTAAAGGTGCAGCAGACGCCCGGCCTGCAGGCCGCCTGAAGAGGGGTGTCAGACACGTGAAGGAAAGGCTTAGCATCTCTGTCATTGCTTTGGTTTTCAGAATTCCCTGCTCCCCATCTGTCGGCTCCCTCCCTCTGAGGGGCGCTGTTGTTGTCACATGGGTGCAACTGGAATATTGTATCTTGAGAGGATTGCCCCAATGTAAATATCATTTTACCCGATGTTGAAAAAATCCCAAAGAACAAGAATGGAGACAGACTACTGTCCTTTAGGCTTAAAACAAACAAACAAACCTGGAAGTGTCCTGCGAAGAGCTGAGACTTGTTTCTGTCCACACACCTCAGAGAGATTGGATGAGAAAATGGCTCGGTTTGGCCCTGACTTTACCCAGTTACATTACTCTTGAAGGTGTCTTTGCCACAATGTGAATAAATTGCCACCTTTTGGAATAGGGGCTCATACGAAAGCCTGCATTCCCAACTTTTCTTGAAACAGATCTACCTTGCTGAGATCAGGTCCTGTTGACCAGGTCCTGTCTCTGGGAATCAGAAGTCACTGGAGTGAAGGACCCCCCCATGCCCTTTTACATTCAGGAATTGAGCTGAACTCACTTTGGGGGAGGCCTGGCAAAGGTGACAGGTGTCACAGATGGAAGGATAGAGAATGGAGAGGCAGACACCCTGCTCGGTCCCTCCCTGGGTGGGGTCAGGCAGATGAAGGCCAGCCAGCCTGCCCCACAATTGGGTGAGATAGTATTCTCTGTGTCCACCTCTCACCCCGTGGGCCTGGCCAGCGAGCTCAGTGGTAAGGAGCAGTAAGCAGGCGGCGGTAAGGAGCGAGGGGTCCCAGATTGTGAGAGGGATTTCCAACTGTCGGCTTAGGCCCATTCCCTGTGGACATCCCCTGAGGGGTCCTGAAAATAAAAGCACAATATGCTAATTAGACTGGACATCATTCCTTACGAAGCCGGAGTCCGAGGGAAGCCAGCCCAGGCCCCAGGTTCCTGTGGGTGACCCGAGGAAAGCCAGCCCAGGTTCCAGGTGCCTGCTGGCAGCTGGAGGAGCAAAGTCCGGATCCAGGGTGCCAGAGGGAAGATGGTGCGAGCAGCCAGGGAAAGGAAGGCCTGCTCTTGCATGAATTCTCATGCATCAGGCCTCTAGTACTTTAATGAAATATATGAAAATATGAGGTCATTGCCCTAATCCAATATGACTGTGTCCATATAAAACAGAAACATTTGGAGATAGAGACAGGTATGCACACACAGTGAATGCTATGTAGCTATGAAGACAGATCAGGGTGATGCATCTATAAGCCAAGGAACAACAAATATCACTAACAAACCACCAGAAGTGAGGAGGCATATATGGAACAGATTTTCATGTGCAGCCTTAAAGGAACCAACCCTGCCAACACCTTGGTTGCAGACTTCTAGCCTCCAGAACTGGGAGACAATAAATTTCTGTTGTATAAGCCACACAGTTTGTGAGACTTGGTTATAGCAGTCCTTGAAAACTAATAGTTACCTAAACTTCTCTCATTCATGACTGGCTCTGAGACTCCTTTCAGTGGTTCTCCACCTTGGCTGTACATTAGAATCAGCTGGGAATCTTTTTAAAATCCTGATTTATGGCCTTCATCCTCTGGAAATTCTGTTTCTTTGTTACTAATGTTGTGGCCCCATCCCATAACAAAGAAACAGGATTTCCGGAGGATGAGGCCCAGAAATCAGGATTTTGAAAGATTCCTAGGTGTTCTAATGTGCAGCCAAGGTTGAGATCCACTGCCATAGATAGTAACACAAGATCATTGCAAAGATCTATGATTACCCTGGCTAGTGAGACTCAGCAGTTGAATGCAGACCCAGGGACCAAGAGGTCACCATTTCGATTCCTGGTCAGGGCCCATGCTTGGGTTTCAGGCTGGATCCC